TCTATACCTGTGGTTCTCAACCTTCTGGCCCTTTAAATACAGTTCCTCATGTTGTGAACCAACCATAAAATTACTTTTGTTGCTACTTCATAACTGTAATGTTGCTACTGTTATGAATCGTAATGTAAATATTTGATATGCAGGATGGTCTTAGGTGACCCCCGTGCAAGGGTCGTTCAACCGCCAAAGGGGTCGCGACCCACAGGTTGAGAACCGCTGCTCTAGATAGTTATTGTTTTGAGATGTCTGGTTTGCATCATACATTCAAACAGAGAAAAACACAGTTATCCCTACACAAGTAAATAACACTAATTCCTACTGAGCTGTGCAGACATTCAAGTGAGGAGTTCACTGGATTTTGAAATTCCTCATCTTTGGGGGGAATTGGTATTGTTTTGGGTTTGTCGTGAATTTCTCTATTCCCAAGGCCAAATAAAAAATTTACCATTTCTTCTTCTTTACCTCTTCTTGTATCCTCATTCATTTGTCATTTCCATTTCCTATAAATTAATTAAAACCCTAATGCTGTAGATGCTGACTTCCTTTTCCTTTGGGGAACTAAGTGTGGGAATGCTAATATCTTGGCTTCTACTTTGAAACACAATATCTTATCATATTCGGTTTAAGCAATTGATGTGCTTAAATGTTAAACTCTATTTTGGATTTTTTTCTGTTTTTTTGTTTTTTTGTTTGTTTGTTTGTTTTAGATTTATCTATATTTCATCCCTTAAAGAAGTTAATACTAAATTTAAAGAAAAAGAAACCCATATTAGTAACTAGATTTTTTTGGACTTGATTTTCTTTTGTACCCTTCAGAGATAGGCTAGCCTATATTTATTTATTTATTAAGATAGGCTAGACTATATTTATTTATTTATTGTTGCTTTTTTTCAGGAATGAGTGGACAGACTAATGAAGTTTTCTGTAGACCTCAGAAATTTTTTTTAACTACTTTTAATCACCATGTATTTTATTTTGATTTTTTGAAATGTCTTTTTCCTAGAAAAAATAATTTTAAAAAATCAAACTAAGAAAAATGGTTGAATTCTTACTCTTTTCACAAAGAAATTGGCATAAATATTTAACAATGCTTTAAATATTTTGGCACTGATTTCCCAATATTGTTACCGTAAAGACACAGAACAATGAAATGCTATCTTTATGATATCTGCATTGCGATTGAGGAATGTTAGCAAATTGTTCTAGTGTGTGCTGTGGCACCAAAACATTTTTGTAATGTCTGGCACAACTTTTCATTTGTGGGCAGGTTCATCAACAGTAGCATTATGTTCATTTTATTTTAATATTTGAAAGGCAGCCAATCAGTATTTTTTAAAGATATAAATCTAACTTCCCTGCCCTTCCTCCCTCAGTTATTCAGCCAACCATTTATAGAACACCTAACTGCAGACTTTGCTGGTTTGGGTACAACATTTACTTCACTCAGTATCCATTAATTTTATTTCTGACAGAATAAGCATATGGTCCTAACGCTCTATGAAATCAGACTCTTGGAACCAGATTCTGTTATAAATTTCATTGCTTGTTACCTTTATGCGATGTTACATTATATACATCACTTAGCTTGCATGAAAAGCTGCATAGATGGGACAGATATATTTTGACATTTACGTTTTACTTTATTTTTTTTATAAACATGGAATTCAAATAACCACATACATAGTTTATGGCTTTTTACACGCACTTGTATGTGTTATTGGCTACAGTGTCGTTATTCATATCCAGCGTTTTTAATGAAGACAAGGATAAAAGAATAAATGTTTCCCTTATTGTCTAATGCAGGAGTTGGTGAAGTAAGAGCCAAATTCAGCCCATTGCCTGTTTTGTATGGACCAATTGCTAAGAATGTTTTTTACATTTTTTGATGTTTGACAAAAGATTCCAAAGAAGAATACTTTATTTCATGTAGAATTCATATAAAATTCAAATTTCAGAATCCATAAGTCAAGTTTTACCCATTCATTTATATATTATCTATGGGTGCTTTCATGTTATAGCCGCAATGTTGAGTGTTGCAAGGGATATCCCATAGCTTAAAATATTGACTGTCTGTCTTTTTAAAGAAAATGTTTGCTGACCCCTGGTCTAATGCATAGCTGGCTTTTTAAAAAATCCTAAATATCAAGAAGTTTATGCAATCAAACTAATACTATAAGTGTTTTTTTTTATTTTCTCTAAAAATGATACAGGGAGCTTATCTATTTCATCTTGTTTTATGTTGAGTTACAGGAGGCGTGTCTATTTTGTGTTCTTCTGATTAAGGGAGAAGTTTACCCAGAGAATGAGTGGTGGGTTTCAAATAAATTCTCTTTCCTCCATCTCCCATCATTATAAACATATTTAATTTGTTTTAATGAAGGTAATTGCACAGTAGGAATAACTCTGAACTAGAAGGCAAAATGTCTCTAGGTTTAAAATGTAATCATTATCTTGTTTTCTAGACTGACGTTAAATAAATAAGGAGTTGAAGTAACTGTGAAAGGAGATGACAGGGCCCACTAAGACGGGCTCCTTGGGTCTTTGATGTGCCTACATTTTCTTTAGAGGTGGAGGATAATTACACTGAAAGGTGATATCTTATGACAGACTGCTGTGCATAGTAAACTGCTACATCGCTTTACCAGAGATGGCTGTCAGAGTGAATGTAGCATTTATTTCTAGGAGAAAAACTTAGCTGTCTTCTTTGAAAATAAATTCTTTTGCTGGCTCCTTTACCCTAAATTTTCCCCTCTTTCATGTTTTGTGTTGGAAAAAAACTCAAAATCGGTTGACTTTTAAAATACATTTGGTGCAAGGTGTGAACAACCTTTAAGACAATATTCAAAGATTTTCTGTAAAGTTATGTTTCTTTGGTATTTTATTTTTTCCAGAAACAAGATCGGGGTTCTCTGTTTATCCTTAAATCTTTTAAACAATTTTTTAAAGTTATGGGATTTTCAGGTTATATTCCAAAATATGTAATGGAAATAATGTATTTCATTTGCTTCAAATAATTTGTGAAAGACACTGAGAAATTCATTCATGAATGCCTCCAAGAATTATTCAGTACCTACGGTATGCCAGGCACTGTTCCTGACACTGAGATGTACCAGTGAGCCAAACAGAACCAAATGGGATTTTTCACCCTTGAGGAGTTGACATTCTAACAGGAGGGGATAGATAACAACCGATGCACATAATAAATGAGTAAATGGCACAGCACACTAAAGGGGATCAGTGAAATGGAAACAATTCAGAGCAGAGGGAGGGAGACCGGGAATATTAGGGTGTTGCTTTAAGAAAGTCAGTGAAGGCCTCATTGACAAGATGATGCTTAAGTGAAGAGCTGAGCTACTGGAGGCATTAGGTGTATAGATATGCAAGGGCAGAGCATTTTAGGAAGAAGGGATAGTGAGAGCGAGGGCCCTACGGTGACAGGAAGCTGACTGTGCATGAAACAGCAAGGAGGTGTCATGGTCATACTGGAGTGAAGGAGAGGAGGAGGAGTGGAAAAGGCATTGGGGAAGTCATGGGGCCTTATAAGGCACGTGAGGATATTTCATTCTTATGGGCATGGAGAACCATCCTGGGACATTTTGCTGGGGAGTGTTATGATTCAATTGACTTACTTAAAGGTCTACTTGGCTGCTTTGTTGTAGGGGAGCCAGGCAGGACAGGGAAAATATTATTGAGGATATTGCAGTAATTCAGGTGAAAGATGATTGTGCCTTGGACAAGGAACAGTCATGAAGGTGGTGAGAGTGGGTGTATTTTGGTCATATTTGAAGGCAAAATGTGTAGGATTTCCTGAAAGATTGGATGTGGGAGAGAGAAAAAAGGAGTTTTTTGTTTGTTTTGTTTTTTACTCCAAATTGTTTTTTTATGTTTTTATTTAAGAAATGTTATAAAACTGGAAAACTGCCATCAGTCAAGAACGGAGAGGTCTATAGGTGGGACAGATTTTGGGAGGATGATTAAATGGTCAACTTTGGGTATCCTGAGTTTAAAATATTTATTAAAATAAAATAAACTCAGTACGATCCCAATTGGTACTTTCCCAGTGTTTGCTTCATGGAAGATGTTAAAAAATATCGTATAAATATTATATATACTACTATAATATGCACAAATTAATGAATGAGCATTCATTGAGCAGCTGGTACTTAATGAGTGGCAGGCATCATGCTGTGCACCATCACATAAGGGGTCTAACCAAATCTTGTTAGAACCCCAAAAGGTAAATGCTATTGCCTACATTTTATAGAAGAAGAAACTCAGAACAAGTAATGAGTAATTTACCTGAAGTTCACCTGGTTAGCAAGTTGCTTTAGGTTTAAGATTCAAACTCATATTTTACAACTTCAAATATAGCCTCTTTTTTCATTAGTGACCTCACCAAAGAAATAGTAGTGGTATACACAATAAGCTGCCATCTGCTTAAAATCTGATTTTTGTCTTCAGATTATAATACGAGTGAACAGAAACAAGCCTGTATGAAGCATGAGCTCTATGTGAGTTTCCGGGACCTGGGATGGCAGGTAAGAATGAGCAATCAATTCAAGTATTCTTTTCTGCTTTATGATAAATCCTGAGTTCCTTGTCACCTTTGTCAATAATTTTTCCAATACAGCAATCAATTATTTTAACCAGACTATTCAGTGAATGGATTATTCACATTATTTTTTATCCATTATTCTTTCAGCATCAAAACATAATTATTAGGTTTTATAGTAAAAATAATAAAAAAAAACTATGTTGAAGAAATGATATTTATAATATTTAGAAAGTGTAAAAGGGTGTTATTCATTAAATATTTCAAACTTTTGATTTTAATACTATTTTTTTCAGATTAACTCAAGCAATTCTCCTTGTCCCCAATAGTCCCAAACTACAGTCTAAGAAACAGAATTCTTGACTTTATTGTCTCTGTCATTTAAAAATTTTTTTTCAGATAAAGTTGTTTTTCTGCACTTCAAACTTATTGCTGTCTTTCACATATGCTTCATAAACATATAATTAACTTCATCAACAGGGCAAGGAGGAGAATTTAACCAATACAGTTTTTAATAATTCTATGTAGTAATCATTTAAATTGAAGTTTTTTAGATTATATTATCCTATTACAATGATTCTCAGAATATGAGCTATCCTATTGAGAATTAATATTAGAGTGTAAACATTTTCAAATTTTATATTTGGGCTAATTTTTATGTCTCAGGGGAAAAAATAGAGCAATTATAACATATGCCAATTTTTAGCTTCCTAGAAATTTTCATGTGCAGTTTTTGGAAGTTGCTTCAATTCATTTCTTCTAAAGAGTCTATAAAGCTAATGTACAAATGAAAATAAAAACAGTACAAGAAACAAATATTAAAGTTTTTGGAGGTTGTCAAGTTTCAAAACCAGGAATGAGTTATTAAGAAGTAATGAGAATGATCTCAGGTTTATTTATTTATTTTTTTGGTCTGGTTCACTTGAACTTTCCAGAGTTCATCATTTCCTGTTTAAAGGATATTTAGAATACTATTTCATGATTACGGTTTTATTCATGAATGCACAGATTTATTTATACATACGATGAATATTGTACATAGCAACCTCTTGGGAGAAATTACAGAGGACATTTTCTTGTGAAAATATTTATATGTATTTTTTTGTGAACTTCAACTTAAAAATAAATCAAGGGCTTGGGGGAGGCTATCCTATTAGACTAATTGTTGGACCAAGAAGAGAAACAAACCTATCCAGATTTATATATATATTTGAGTATTTTTAAGAATTACATTTTTATATGACTTTTTTCTCCTTTTTTGTGCATTTTAGGACTGGATTATAGCACCAGAAGGATATGCTGCATTTTACTGTGATGGAGAATGTTCTTTTCCACTCAATGCCCATATGAATGCTACCAACCATGCCATAGTTCAGACTCTGGTATGCTTGTTTTTGTAGGATTGAAACTGGTTTAAGATGAAAACCTCATATAAAGTTATTTGAACAGAAAGCATCCATTGGTAGTTACCAGTGCATTGTCTTCTCTTCTCAAACTTGTTTGGCACTTTTTAGAGCCAAAGTAACAAATAGGGATATTCAGGCTGGTTTAGAGATTAATCCTGATTCCATATTGGGGAAGGATTCAGATAGGAGAATTGTCGTAATTAAATGATATATATTCATTCTGTGATTGCTTCACTATGCAACATGACTAACCACACAGGTTCCCAGTTACTTATTTCTAACCTAACAATTCATTAGTAATCATGGCAAAAACATTGAATAATAGCTGTAGTGAATTTCATCTAAGGGCTTTTACTCTAATTATTTAAGGATGCTCCATAACACACTGACAATAAGGAAGTTCTTTAATGTAGAATATAAGTAGAAGATACATTTCTATTTCCTAATACCTTTTTTTTACCTTTAAGGTGAAAAATAATCTTCATTATTTTTCCCCTTCCAGACTCAGGAAATCAAATAGTGACTTAATCTGTAATAGCCTAGGCTTATTTTTGTGAAAAAGATAGTGAGTTGTTGATTTCATGGTCTTTAAATGGTTGTACTGTATTACATGAGCTCATGAAACCTCTTAAGAGTCTGGCGTACCTGCATTATGGCAGAGGGTCAAACTCCGGAAGACTAAATGACAGGCTCCTAGAAGGTACAATAGATTATGTGATATTATTCCAAATTAATGTGTGGGGGTTAATATGAAAATTGTAATTAGGAAAGAAGAAAAGAAAAAAAGTATTTTAGACTCCAGACTTACTGATGGGAATGGGGTTATTTGGTGAATGGCAGTAAGAGAGCAGTAGCTATTGGTCAAAAAATAAATAAAAACAAGTAAAATCTATCTTAGTGGATGAGGTTTGTTTATGACGAAAAAAAAAAGAGTAACTATTAGAATTTTTGAGGAGTTGACTCTTCAGGAAGTTACTTTTTTTTTTCTTCAGTAAAAAAAAAAAACAAAAAAAACAAAAAAAACAAGTAAAATCTATCTTAGTGGATGAGATTTGTTTATGACAAAAAAAAAAGAGTATTAGAATTTTTGAGGAGTTGACTCTTCAGGAGGTTACCTTTTTTTTTCTTCAAAATTAATGGAAAATTGAAAGCTGATGAAAAGAGTATCTTAGCTTCCTTCTGAATAAGGAATGGGGTATATAGATTGATAGATTAAATTCTTGAATGCCCATTATGCTGCTGTCTTCATTGACTTCCGATGTACTACCAAATAGCTAGACACCAAAGACACATCTATAACAACTAGAGCTTGGGCATTGGCAAATTTTTTTTGGGAAGAAATGTGATGTAAGAGAAGCAGAGAGATAAAACAAATATGTATTTTGAAAGGTAGTCATTTAGACATTTTCTTCTTTTTCTGAGTCTTGACCAATGAGATGGCCCACTTCCATACCATATACAAAGTATAGAGAAAATTCCTGGAGGAATTTTAAGGTTTGATATGCCTTCATCTTTGCTCTCTGTACAGATAAGTAGTTCATGATACAGGGCAACTTTTCTGGGGGGTCTGGAGCAGGTATGCTCTGCAAAGGATGGATGTTTGTATTCAAACTTCCACTGGTAAACAAAAATAAATGCTATGAAGTCTAGCCTTTTATCCATGTCTATGAGAATTCACGTTGAGCGAGAGCTGACCATGCAGAGAACAGTGCTGGTCCTGCCTTGAAGGGATAGCCATGATCACTGTCTTTCTGTAATGTCACAGAGGGCAGTCACTATCAGCTTATAAAAAATGCCGCTTAATTTCTCAGACACTTCTTTGCCTCTTTTTACTCTCATTCCAAATGACTCAGAAAGTAGACTTTTGCTTCCTGAGATACGTATCTAACGTATCAACATTTCCCTCAAGCAAAGCAATGCTTAATAATTGAAAAAACTGTCAAATACAACCCTTTCTCTCCTTTCCCTTTTTCTTCTTATAAATATACTAGAGACCCAATGAGTGAAATTGGTGCAAGAGTAGGCCTTCAGTGCCCTGGCTGCCTCAGCCTCCCTCGCAGCCCCGGCTTCGTCCATAAGGTCGTCCAGGTAGTCGTTCTGCTGTTCGGTCATTCGGTCGATTTGCGTACTATGCTTTTATTATTATAGATATTTACATATTGTCAGCTTTTGGGGCAATAGTGTAGAAGGCAGTGTTGAAAGCCAAACATTAAAAAAAAATCTGATGTGCACTTGGAACAAGACCCCGCTCTGCACCACTGTCCTGGGATATGGGACATAAGTCATCACAAAACTTGAAGCGTCCATGGGAAGTTTGATTTTTTCCCCCCTGGCATTGTGCACTCTCTCTGTTTGTTCTGTGAAGGACATGAAACAAGAAGACAGGCATGTTTGTTGTTACAGGGGAGCATGTTTGTGACTAACATGTTTGAGAAACCATTCAAGAACAATCCTTTTTTTTTTTTTAAGCAAATGCTTCGTGAGGCTGCCAAGCTCCATTGAAACGGGGTGATCAATCATGTATGTGTGTGTTACGGAAGATAAAACTGATGAGGGACACAAGCTGCATCTGAAATTTGTAGAAACTATCCAACTTTTAGTTTTGTGAGGTCTTAGGAAATTTCAAGTTCGTGTCAGATCACCTCATTTTTTTCTGCTGTTTCTGTCCATACGCGGGGCTCTTATATCATTTCAGCCAGGACATTGTACAGCCAAACTCCAGGAGGCTATATTTGCTTTTTGTAGATCCCTCAGGACTCATCAGTGAGACTTCCCATAAACCCTCTAGGGAAGGACTAGGGTAGATGGGTGGGAACAGGGGGACCAGGTCCTGGCTCCTTGCTCAGACCATAGGCAGACTGCCAGTCTGATCAAAATGAGAATAAACCCTTTATTTAAGCATTTCACTTTCCATGTTCAGCCACCTTTTTTAGGCTTTTGGGGGGATGGAGATTCAATTCGTAAAATATCTAGACTCTTTACTTCTGATTTAGCTTAGCCTGCTTTTTAGAGGTTGTCTAAGGGAGAAAGAAGGTAAAAGGATATTAAACTCTACCCAATCTGCTAAAAAATTATGTGAAGAGTTGAAATCATTGCTGTAAACTTTAAATCAAATATTGGATTACACCTGGAGTTTATTTTGCTGTTATATTTAAGTTTCCTTTACAATGGAAAATGAAGAGTTGGCATAATTTTGATGACTTACTGTTTAATTATCCTTTTGAAATAATTCTTAGATCTGAATCTCCCTACAGTCCAATTGTGTGGCTTTACTGATTTGCATTTATAACGTCTGTCTGTCTGTCTCAGGAAGTAAATAGAAGTCGTTTTAACCAAAAGCAACTAAGTACTAGTTGCCATGTTCTTTTTCCCAGGAAAATTTTCACTGGTTTCGCCATATAAGGTATTTTCCTTAGCTGTTTGTACATTTTTCAAGATCCCAACACGTAATTAGGACTACTGGGTTGATTCTAGGTGTTAATGCTTAAGAACACATCCTTTATTGCCAGCCACCCCAGCTACTGAACACAAAGAGAATAGTGGAGGGTGTGCTTGATGGTGAGTGATAAGACAAGCATACCATTTTAAAGCTGCAGACAAAATATGTACCTTATTTCTTAAAGAAACAAAACATTTTTTCTTTCCCAGGTTCATCTGATGTTTCCTGACCACGTACCAAAGCCTTGTTGTGCTCCAACCAAATTAAACGCCATCTCTGTGCTATACTTTGACGACAGCTCCAATGTCATTTTGAAAAAATACAGAAACATGGTAGTGCGCTCCTGTGGCTGCCACTAATATTAGATAATAATGGAAATAAGAAAAAGATCTGTATTAAGGTTTATGGCTACAATAAAAAGTATACTTTCAGACAAAAGGAGAATTCTGTAAAATTAGTCTGGCTCATTTCATCTCTACCTATGTACAATATCATGTATATAGTCACTTTTATTTATTTAAAGGTATATATTCTCCTTTATGGATGCCTTATCAATAAAGTCTATTTTATAGGTCACTACATTAAACAATAGATTGCCCAGTCTAACTTTCAATGAGGTATGTTAAGTCCAATTCAATTCCATGTCAACATTTTTTCCTAATACGATTTTTAATATATTTTTTGAAATAAGAACTCCTTTTACTGTTAAATATCGATGAAAGAAACCCAATGCATGTGATTATGTTGCTCCAATAAAAACTATGCCAGGATATTTATTTAGAAGTAAAACTTAAAAAAATAACAACCCAAACAAAAATGCTTAGATAAACACAATTTTTCTTTTAGAGTTTCTACTGCATCCAATAAAGTGAAATGTTGAACTGGATTTGAGTAAATAAATGGTAGGCAGCATATAGAATCCGAAAGATTGCACATCATTGTTGTAACTGTTTGCTTTCACGGAATTGGTGTAACTGTAGGAGCATCTTCCTTGTTGGCTTGTGAACTGCAGATTTTGCAAAGAGCTCAAAGCTTCAGGAACTCTGTGGAGACAGGCTTGAGCCTGTGTCCATGACTTTCCACGTTAACACTAAAAAATGGCAGTACAACCTTTTTACCTCAAACAAATCATGTCTGCCTATTATCTAGAACACTACTGCTGCAGATTTTTTTTCTGGTTTAAAAGGAGTCCAAAATAAAGAAAACTTTACATGTGCTCCACTTCCCTCCCCACAGACAAGAGTCACTGCATGCAAAAAACATACCGGAGCAAGCTGCCGACACAGCCATTGTCTTTCGCACTCCTTCATAACTGAGTCCGCTGATGGATGTGATACAAGGGATTTTATTTAGGGTAAAAGCACTGAAACTAAACTGGAGGAAATTACCCACAATCCCAGAATAGCTTTGACAGAATTGCCATTTCGAAAGAACAGCTGAAATCCATTTTTCATATCTTTGAGAACGAGCTCAATGAAAACCTGATTTTGTAAAGGGATTTTGTAAACCCTCCTCCAAGCACAAATAATTCCAAACGGGAAGGTTCTGTTGTGTGTATGTGCATGTGTGTTCTTCCCTCTGAAATTAATTTATTTTCTCTCTCTGTACCTCTCTCTGCCTTCTAAGGCTTTCCTTTAACACACACTGATTTCTTAAAGAATGACATTTAGATGGATAACTTGCCATTCATGGTGGCTCCACAGCTAGGCCTATTTATAGTTCATCTAGCATATTCATAAAGCACCATTTATTAATCACTCTTTTGGATCTTTCAAATAAAAATAGTAATAGCTTTAAAATGTTATGGGTTTGTTTGTAATTCAGGTATGTTGTAATGTTTTAAAATACAGTTTATCTTAAAGATTTGATAATAACTATATTGGAGGTACATTAAATAATATATTTTTGAATTAATGGCATACCATTGTAAGAATAAGAAACGGAAGTCTATTATATTATTCTTTAAATGTGCTGTTTAAATATATTTCTATATTTTAAAATATATTAAACTTGTTATGCTAGTTTCTATTGTGCTTCTTGTTTTGACTCTTTATTTGAAGGATGCAACAAGTAAGTATGTCACAAACTGAGACTATAAGAATATCAGATATAAAAGGTATGTGGATTACATGATTCTTTATTTTTTTTAATTGCCCAAACTAGTTTTTGTGTTAATAAATAACTCACTGCTAAATAAAGCAAAATTCGATAAATATTTTCTTAATTTGTTTAAACAACAAAGAATTTTTTTTAAATAGCAAAAATGATTAAAATAGGAAAATATCTCACTTACTCTCACTTAAGAAGGGAGACTATTGGTATCAGTATTTTCATATTTTTTCAAATGATATCTATACATGTGTATGCATATCCTATATAATAAAAGGCTAACATGCAAATTGTCCCTACGGGTGAGAGTTTCGACCCACCAGGAGTTCGATGTGCGCTGACCACCAGGGGGCGGCATGGAACATGGTGGGTGTCAGCCTCATCGTGCTGGCTGTGGGCGGCAGTGGAGGCCCTGCCGGCCCCTATGGGTCCCAACAAGAGTGACACTGTGATGGGATGGTGGAGTAGGTGAGCAGGTAGCACCAGGCCAAGGCAGTTGCAAAGGGAGAACCCAGCCGGCAGCCAGCAGCCACTAGGGACCTTACCCGTGCATGAATTTCATGCACTGGGCCCCTGTATACACATGTTCAGTCACATATTCTCAAATAACTGTTATCATAACTTCTTAGTATTACTTCGGTTGTATTCTGATTACTGAAAGTCAAAATAGTTTGGCTTAGTTTATTAGGATCCAATCTACTCAAGTCTTTTCAGCTAGTTATACATTGACTTGTTTGTTGTATATTTGTTTTTAATTTTTCTGCTTTACATACTTTGGCTTTATAATGTGTCCCTAATCCTTTTTGAAAATAGAAGAATTTAAATCACAAATATTCAAATTCTTTAAAACTAAGGCAAAGAGAAATGTTTACATTGAACAAAATTATAAGAAAAACACAAGAAAGAAAATTCTAAAGTATTTTTTATCTCATTTTATAATCCCTGTATCACTATCATCGAATCTGAGCCAAAGTCTACTGGCTACTATACAGTCTGGCAAATATCATCTCCCAAGACATTCACAATGAATAATAGCTCATGCTGCAGCTCCATTCAAGGCAGAAGAAATCCTCAAACACAAGTCACCGTCTTATAACCATTCAGTCAAGTGCTCAATTTATCATCCAATTTCCCGCTCAGATTACCTCCTCTTCTGTTTTCTCTTTGTATTTTTTTTGGCTTCAAACTTTTTAAAGTTACAAGTGAAGAAGGCTTTGCCGATAAAGAGTATACATTGCTAAGTATATATCTATACATCTGTATTTTATCAAGTTTGGTTAAGATCATAATGGAAGAGAAAGCAGGAAAAGGAATAGATGCCAGTATTTATTCTTATTTAGGCAGGAAAATGACACTATATCCGAGTTAGTAATATAAAAAGAGCAAAGGTTTTGTAAAAATTACTTCAGTCAGTTGTAATCTTTGTTAAAGACTTTTTGAAAGATGGGGATTTCGAAGACAGGAGAAACCAGATTAGATATAGTCATTAGAAATGACAAAGAAATTTTAGAAATTTAAAAACTTGCACTTTCACCTTTGCATCTTAGTTTCAATTTGACAGAGCTAGGTAACCCAGCTAGCCTCAAGGTCAATGTATGTACACCAAGCATGTCAAACTCGAAGGTTAACACGGGCCAAATAAACAAGGTTTAATTTTAGGGGGGCCCCCAAAAAACAAAAGGTTCAATTTTCATAGAAACATAGGTTTATTTCTATATAGACATGCTGAATACAAAGGGCTGAAATAAATAAGTCATCAGTAACATAAAAGAATAGAACATTTTAATAAAAAGTAATATTTTTGCTTGAACATTAACTTACCAGTCACTGCATAACTGCACAATTAGCGTAACGCAAATAAACCCATTTTTCTTGTTCTCTGAAAGCAAAATATTTCCTGTTGTGCACACTAAACAAGTCAGTCCAAGACTAATGACGTGGCAGTCGGCTGCTAGAATATTCGCTGCTAGTATTAGTGGAGAGAAATGGTGCGCCTGCGCGTAAGGGAAATGAATGCAACACGACTACAGTGATCGGTCATTAGCGAATGTTGTAGCTCGTTATTAATAATTATGTATAACATAATATTGTAAAAGTTAAGTTATGAAATTTTTATTAAAATGTTTCTTACATATCGTTATATTGGCTGGGCTGCAAAAATATTCATTGTGGTCCACATGCAGCCTTTGACATGCTTGATGTACACAATGGGAAAAGGACAGGTAGATGCACTACAGCTCAAATTTTGCAATCTATAGATAGGAAGATAAGAGAGGTTATACTGCATAAACAGCCTTAAGACTTACCGGTGTCAAAACTGGACCTAAACTGATGGTGTAGTAGGGTGTGGCTACTACCACCTGATGAAATATAAGAGAACCTACTGAAAAAGCTGGGCTGTATTTATTGTCCTGCAGATACCTATAGTAAAAAGCCCAAACAGGAAAATAATTCTCTACCTTGAACCACAAGGCAATTAAGATGTCTTGGATTATATGTCTCTACTCTCTCTTTAATGAAACACTCCCCACCTCCGCCCCCCCCCCCACACACATATATAGGGTGTTCCCACAAAGTATATATACACTTTAACAGCTGATAGCTGTAGATTCTATTACATTTTGAAAATGAAATGCATTTTAATAAACACTACCTTTATAGTCCTGATGGGGTATCGAACCATGACCTCATTCAGAGGTCCACGCTCAACCACTGAGCCGAACCAGCCGGGCCAGGCAGCAGCATTTAATGAATGCAAATATATACTGTCCTCTGGACCTCAAGCCTAAAAGCCCCACGGGCCAGAAGACCAGGCAACGTGGTGGTGTCCTCTTACAGCAGCAGCCAAAATCAGGGCATCAGGCAAAACGATGAGCTCCTTTCTGGAAAATACCAGCGAGATGGAAAGAGGCAGGAGAGCTCATAGATCAGGCTCCCACACGTGTGCTACACCCGAAGCCTGCTCCTCAGGCCAAAGCTCCTTGAACAAGATAGAGGCCTTTTTCTCAGGAAGACTAAGGGTTGTTTTGGTCTGTGATCTGTGCAGTGCTGGGGGGAGGGGGAGGGGGAGGAGGGAGAGGTGACAGTCTGCCAAGAACAGTTTCTCCAGCTGTTACAGTCCCATGGGACCCAAGAATGCAGGTTCCCCTGGCCGCCAGAGGCAGGTGATTTAGGGGTATGGCTGGGAGGCACCACCAGAAATCCAGGTCTCCTGCCATGAACACGGGGGCAGCAGCCCTGCATGGAAGTTCCCCTCTGGGCGCTGGGGCCTCTGGGGAAGCCAGTGACAGCGCCCCTGGCTGGAGCAAAGCGGACGAGGAGTGCAAAAGGTGCACTT